CCCACCCCCCTTTCACACACTGTTGAAATGTATTTGTATACTTTCATATAAATGCCTACAGTAGCCTAGTGTAGTTATCTTAGTTTCCTGCTAGGTGGTGTACCATTTGCCTTTCTTCATTCTTGCCTATTTGTACCCTTGAACCTATAGTGGAACCCCCATTCTCTCGATACTTTTCACTTCAACTCAACCTGCTCGATACTCAAACTCTAGTTCTAACTAGCTATGGCTCCTTAGCCTAGCTCAAGCTTTGACATGTTATCAGAGCGTGTTCCGCTCCTGGACTCCTGCTTCCGCTGCTACTGAGTGTACTGCACGCCCCGTGGTGTGCCCTACTGTCGCGGCCCCGCCGCCCTTCTTAAGCGGCCCCGCCGCCCTACTGTCGCGGCCTCGCCGCCTCTCTGCTGTCGCGGCCCCGCCGCCCTACTGTCGCGGCCCCGCCGCCCTCCTGTCGCGGCCTCGCCGCCCTGCTTTAGCGGCCTTGCCGCCCATACCAGCCCGTCGCCGCCCTTTGCGGCGTCACGTGCCGCCCGTACGACGCGCCGCCGTCCGCTGCGGTCCCGTCGCCGCCCGTACCGGCCCGTCGCCGCCCGTCCCGGCCCGTCGCCGCCCGTGCGGTACCCGCCCCAGGCCCCGATGCCACCTGCGGCCCCGACCCCGCCCCGGCCATGCCCTGTCGCCAGCCGCGGCACACCTGGGGCACGTGCACCGCCCCCCCCCCCCCCCCTTTTCCCGTCACCTGTCGAGGCGACCTGAGGGGGCCTGAAAGGGGGGGGGAGTCGTCGCCCCCTCTGCCGCTTGCTTTGGCGCCCGGGGAGGCCGTGCGTCGCCCCCCCCCCCCCCCCTTCCCCCCCCCTTTCTCCTCCTCCTTTTGTTCCCTCTGCTGCAGCTGCCGTTGGGGGGGAGGGTGTGAGAGTGTGGGGAGCCCGGGGAGGGACTGGGGGTGGCGGGTGTGGGGGTGATGTGTGGTCCCCTGGCCCTACGGCCCCATCCTCCTCCGTTTGCCCCCCCTCTGCTGCTCCTGCAGCAGTGTGGGGGGGAGGGGGAGGGGGAGGGCGAGGGGATGGAGTGGGTGACCAGCGTGGGCGTTTTACACTTCCAGCTACTACTGCTCTTGCTTGTTTCTGTTTCTTCCATTGCACCTTGTACCCCTGCAGACTTTGTGCTACACACGGGTTTTCCACTGTAGGCATTTAGGGGGTGTGTTGAAATGTATTTGTATACTTTCATATAAATGCCTACAGTAGCCTAGTGTAGTTATCTTAGTTTCCTGCTAGGTGGTGTACCATTTGCCTTTCTTCATTCTTGCCTATTTGTACCCTTGAACCTATAGTGAAACCCCCATTCTCTCGATACTTTTCACTTCAACTCAACCTGCTCGATACTCAAACTCTAGTTCTAACTAGCTATGGCTCCTTAGCCTAGCTCAAGCTTTGACACAAGCTTTGACACACACCCCTTGCTGCACCCTTGGTTCCACTTCCACGTCACCCCCTTAGCACCACTCCTTTGGCTCCCACACACCCACCCCCCTCAGCGGCAGCTGCAGCAGTGGGAGACGAAGGAGGAGGAGCAGGGGACGGCTCACACACCCGCCACCCCCATACCCGTCACCCCTGTACCCTGAGTGTGCGGTAAGCAAGCTCAGGTGTGCGCGAAGGGTGCACAAGCGTGCGGGAAGCGAACTCGGGTGTGCGGAAAGCGAACTCAGGTGTGCGGGGAGGGGGGCCGCAGGGCGACGCGCGGGTCGACGGGGACGGGCGCACGGGTCCCGGGGGGCGGCGCGCGGGTCGACGGGGCCGCCGCGAAGGGCGACGGGGAGCCGCGCGCGGGTCGACGGGGCCGCCGCGAATGGCGACGGGGAGCTGCGCGTGGGTCGACGGGGCCGCCGCGAAGGGCGACGGGGAGCCGCACGCAGGTCGACGAGGACGGGCACGCGGGTCGACGGAACGCGAAACCGCCGCGCGCGCCCAGGGTGCGCGGCGGGCAAGAAACTGCCACGCGTCCCGAGCGCATGGCGGGCAGAAAACCGCCACACGCTCGGGGCGCGTGGCGGGAAGAAATAATGAACATCCCACGCCACGGGGCGCGCGACAGACACTAGGGCAGCGGAAGCAGGCGGGTCACAGGCCAGGAGCGTAACCGCTCTGATAGCCTGTCACAATAGTAGTTAGAATGAAGGAGCCATAGCTAGGGTTTACCTAGCTAGGCAAGAGAGAGATAGGCAAAAGAGAGGGTTTGACTAGAAAGGAGGGAGGTACAAATAGCAAGCCCTAAAAAAGGTATACTCACTATTGAGTACCCCATTACAGACTAGACAAGCATTGTATTCTGACACTACGGCGATTGTAGTTACTTTTTCCATTCACATCCGGGCGGACTTGTAGGTTAAGACTGAAAAGCGAAGGGTGTATACAAGAGGGGCGTACCGAAATGTATCAGGGCCTGGACGACCTGGACGAGGAAGTACAATGCATATGAAATTTTCAGCAAAGCCTTGTACGTGGTCACTGGATTTCTCCTCCATTCGGCCAACCCGAGGAGTGTTTCACAGTCTCCCCGAGAAGGCCAGATGGGTAAGTTTGTCGTGCCTTCAAGCCTAAGCAGTTTAGATAAAATCAGAAGTGTACATTCCCTTAAGGCGTGCATTCCCCCCCCCCCCCCCCCCCCGACCGTCCGGACGATTGTGTAGTTATCGAAGTCGTTAAAGCTTGCCAACCAATTCGTCAGGAACTAAGCGACGCCCCATGCGTCGTATTGCATCCATACGTCGTCGCCTGCGTCGCGTAACGACTGCGATGTCGCACGCGTCCGGACGTACGTCTGGACTTTCAGAGATTTTGGAAAAAGTACACGCCCTTAGCAATCAGGGTTGTGCAATGGGAGAGAAGACTGGTGTGGGGTTGGTTGGTGTATGCTTTTTGCGGTTTTGGTCCCATCCAATCTAACCACTTGCGAGGGCAAGGAAATTCGCTACAGTTCAATAGAATTCGATCGTATCACTATTCCGGCAGCTTTTAGCCGCGATCATAATCATTGGCACGTGTAACAGAGGTTTCAATTGAGGGGGAAAACCAAAGGCATTGCCACATTGGCGTGCCAGGGTGGCACGGAAATACAACTCTCCTCCACTCGTAATCGTGGACATGCAGCATGGACGGGTTACCCAGCATAGGCACCTCGAATTCCTTCCGCAGGCAGGCACTGAATTCCTCACCTGGTTCCGCAAATTCCGTGTTGATTGCGTTGCGAACGCGATGATCCCTGGGTTTGCACTGAACTGTGCACAAACATGAAGGCCAACATGGACAATGCAAAACGGGTTTTTATATGGGTTATCATAAAACATTTCGCTGTTATCACGAGCCGTCACGGCGCTATCACAAACGGTCACAGGACCCGTCAAATATATCACGAACCATCACACGGGCATCACCCGCCGTCACTCAAAGGCACTAAAATCTATCACGGGTAGTCACACTCGAAAGTTTGCTCTCACAGATGAACCCCGTCATCATTTCGTTGACCCGCCCTGAAACACTGTACAGATTTAGGGACTATATTTTGGGCTGGGAGTTTTTGTTCTGTATACGCGACCATTTTGGTCGCAAAGATACCTGGTTACGCTCGGTTCGACGTAACACACATAAATAAAACAAAATCAATGAATGAATTTTAACACATAAATACATTGCCAGATTTCACAATTAATTGAATCTGCCTAAATATTTATCAAGATGATCAACCATCAATGACTTGGAACGCACAATTTATATTTCATTAAACAATATTCAGAATGAGAATAATCTCACTGTAATACAGTAGCAATAGCCGTCAGTTACATACAATACACATATAATAATTTGCACACCAACCTATTTCTTCTCGCCAACCTCTAAACATTAAGCGACAAGATGTTTAGGGTTGATGACATCCTGAATGGATGCCTTTCATTAGAAGGATTATTTGTAATTGCGCTCGGGTTGCAAGCTCCGTTGGATGATGTCGTTTGTCTGTGCGTTTAAATTCTGAGGAGATATGATGGCGTGGAAATTATTATATGTGTATTGTATGCAACTGACGGCTAGTGTTACTGTATTACGGCGAGATTATTTTCATTCTGAATATTGTATCCGCTGTTTAACGAAAAATAAATTGTGAGTTCCAAATCATGGATGGTTTATCATCTTGATAAACATTTAGGCAGATTCAATGAATTGTGAAATCTAGCAATGTATATATCCGTTAAAATTCATTCATTGCTTTTGTTCTATTAATGTGTGTTTCGTCGAACCAGGTATATTTGCGACCAAAATGATCGCGCATACAAGACAAAAACACCCAGCCCGAAATATAGTCCCTAAATCTCTACAGTGTTTCAGGGCGGGTCAACAAAATGATGACGGGGCTCATCTGTGAGAGCGAACTTTCGAGTGTGACTACCCGTGTGATATATTTGGCGGGTCTTGTGACCGTTTGTGATAGCGCCGTGACTGCTCGTGATAACTGCGAAATATTTTATGATTACCCATATAAAAACCCATGCGAAACAGCACAATGAGGAAGTTTCAAAACCGATGCGAATCACCAGCATCACGCCTCTATCCTTCCCATGCTAGCTGCCATGCACAGTGCACACACGTATTCCATTCCAGCAGCCTTGGAATTTTCTGGTGGCCCTGTTTTCCTTACGGGACGTGGATGGCTTGGCTTTCCACTCTTCACCTCACACTTCTAGTTTGGGTTTGCCCGTTAGCCTGCTCCGACCTGGGCCCTGCGGAATCCTGTCCAAGTACAGGGAAGTTCGAGAAATTCCTGCCCCGAGATCACCAGGCACAGTGAGCTCGCCAGCGTGATTTCGTGAATGGAGTTGGTTGTTTGCACGTCATCTCTCCTCCACCAGTTCCAGCTCCTGGCTCCGTTTCAAACCCTAGATTTCGTGGCTTCACTAACCGTCGCTCAACTCAGCATCTCTCACCTCCGCGCATGGTTCGTTTGCAATGGCGGACGTCGCCACGTGTGCAGCTCCGCCGATAGACCACACGCATTTGCACCAGCACGCGCAGCTCTCGCAGCACCATTCCCCCCAGCAGCAGGGAGCAGTCGCGGAATCGCGCGGAGGCCACTTGACCCGCCGACTGCTAAGCCTCGCTTTGCCGCTCCGCGCGGCTACTAAGCGCACCATGCCGCCCGGCGATTCGCCCAGGCGTCGCTGGGTGGTGGAAGTGCCTCTGTCCACCGCTCTCAACGCCACCGACCGCGAGTCGACGGCGGCACTGGGTCGATGCGTGGAGGACGCGTGGACTGTGGTGCAGCGCGCCGTTGCTGACGTGGCTCGGCAACAAGCCACGTCGCAGGTGGTGCTGGTGCTGGTGGTGGTGGTGCCATCGTCGGCCGCGGGAATTCCCGGCGAGGGGGATAGAGGGGAGGAGGGGAGGCAAGGCGGCGAGCGCGAGGGGGAGGAAGGCTTTGAGGCGTGGGTGGTGCAGCGCGTGCTCCGACCGCTGGTGCAGCGAGCGACGCGAGCCAAGGTGCGTCACGCGGGTAAAGGTGAAATCTGCCAGGGAAACCTTCCCGCTGCTCGCATTTCTGTCACGTTCGCCTCATTTCGCGTCCGTGCGCCAACGGGCGTCACATTCTGATGCCACTCTTCCTTTCCCCCCACCCCCCCTCTCCCTCTCCCCCTTCCCCTCTCCCTCTTCCCGGCCCCTGTGCCCCGCCTCCCTCGTTATCTCGCAGGTGCTGGCCGCCTTCCACGTGGAAAGGTCAGCGTCGCAGGGCGGAGCTGACAGTTCGCGTTTGCCACATCAGCAGCAGCGTGTGCACGGCGTGTGTGCCGCTGCGCGCCACTTCGACGCGGCGCGCGTGTACCTGCCATCCAACCTCTTCACCGCATCCAACGCCGTGGACTCCGCCGCTGAATCTTTCGCCGAATCCGCCGGTTGCCAAGCTTCACAGGTAGCAGAATCGCCCCGCGCAGCCCTCGCGCCTCCCCCGTCGCCTGCGCTGATCCGCGCGCTGCTGCCCCCCCAGTGCGCGCTCATCATGACCGCCTCCGCGCGCCATCAGCCCGACGGGGCGAGAATAAGCGGGGGGGCGGTCGGTGAGGTGGGGCGGGGGGAAGCAGGCCTCCGCGACGGCAGTGGCGGGCGCGAAGGGTTAACGGCGGTGGCAGGCGCCAGTGACTTCCACGGCGACCTGTTCCCGTCGCCCTCTCACACCACGGCAGATGGTGACGGCGGTGCTGCTGGTAGTGTTGCTGTTGGTTTTGGTGGTGTTGCTAGTAGTGACGGTAGTGGTGGTGGTGGTGGCGCTGCTGCTGCTGGCTCTGCACGTGCCGCGTTGGGCGAGCAGGTAGGACGGCGGGGGGGGGCTCGCGGGGGTAGTGTTCCGCCCGCCGCCATCGCACGGGCGCGCCTACAGCAGCCAACCGCACAGGCGGAGATGATGCGGCAAGGCCAGGGGCAGGCGCAAGGAGTGGGGAGGGAAGCAGGCGGAAGCGGCGCAGGATCAGCGGGGGAGATTGCTTCCTCCGAGCGGATGCGGAGGGCGCAGGAGGAGCGCGGTGCGGTAATGAGACGCGAGGGCGGTGACAGGGTGGGGCCGGGGGAAGGCGATGGAAGGGTGGCGGGGGGGAACGGCGGAAGTGCGCAGTGGCGCTTACAGAACTCCGCCATGCCGCTGCAGCGCCGTGGAGGGGGAGGGGCGCACGACGGCGGCGGCGCGGCTCGTAGTGCCGGGCGGGAACAGCCTGTGCAAGGGCGCGCGTTAGCGGACAGGCTGTCGGGCGCGGGGAACTCGAGGAGTGGGCCACTGCCGTCTGTGCCCACAGCAGAGCGCGGTGACGGTGCGGTGCAGGCGCGGAGAGAAGGGGAGGGCGCGGGATGGATTCGCGGGGTCGCGGGTGGGGAGCAGGATAGAGAGGGCGGAGTAGTGAGACAGGCAGGCGGCGCTGGGCAGTCGGCAGTGGGGGCGCGGTCGGGGCCAATGCAGCTGCTGGGTGCCGCCACGCAAGGGTGGTCGCAACCTGGGAAGCAGCAGCTTCAGCCGCAGCAGGGGGGGCAGCAGCGGCAGGGTAAGGGGGAGCGTGAGCGGTGGCAGGATGTGTTAGCGGGGGTGGGCGGCGGAGAGGCATGGATGGAGGCGGCGGAGGTGGATTCGCAGCTGACGCAGTGGCTGCTGGGGAAGGCGGCGCCCGCGCCCCTGTCCCCGTCCCCGTCCGTTCCCCCGCGCTCACTTTACTCTCTCAGCGCAGGCCACGGCATGCCGTCGCCCCTCTCCTCCCCGCCCCCCCTCTATCCCAGCTTCGTACCCGCCAGCCACAACATGCCCGTAGGGCCGTCCGCGGCCCCGGGCCACGCCATTCCCCCCTCCGTCTCCGCTCCCCCGGGTGCGCCCATGCCTGCTCCATGCGGGGCCACCTCGCCCGCCACCCCTCCGCGTGCCGCACAGTGCGTAACAGGTTCAGGCAGTGGCAGCAGCAGCAGCAGGTACGGTGAAGAGAATATGCTTGTTAATTCCGCAGCAGCCGCAGCAGGTGCTAGTGCAGGCGTGACAACATACCCCTCCCTCGCCACCACTCCCCCCTCTCTTTCCCCTTCCCCGTCGACCATCACGCCCCCCCGATCCCCCTGGTCTCTCCCGCGCGCTCCCCGCCTCCCCGCCGCCACGCCGCTCCCCGCTGCGCCTCCGCCGGTGGTGAAGGAGCGCCCTAAGGGCGGGCTGTTTCAGCGCCGCCAGCTCAAGCGCGGCGGCAGCGAGGGCTGCCGCAGCGTTCTCGACGCCGTCGCTGTAGCCTCCTCCGCCCGCTCCCCCGCCGTTCCCCCTTCCGCGCATTCCTCCTCCGTGCTCCCCATCTCCCCCATTTCGCCTCACACCTTCTCCGTCTCACTCTCCGCCGCCGTCTCCCCCATCCGCGCGTCGCTCTCTCCGGATCCCTCCGCCGCCGCGGGCGCGGCACCTGGCGCGCTCATATGGGGCGGGGAAGTGTTTCCGCATGGTGCGTGGAACGGAGCGGGCGCGGCGGGAGTGACTGGGGAAGCGGTGAGCGAGGAGCGCGAGAAGGGGGAGCGGGAGATGGCGGGGCGGCAGCTGGTAGTGCAGGTGCGGGAGGTGGAAAAGGGGGAGGGTGCGCGCAAAGGGCCAGTGGGGGGCGGGAAGGCGGAGGTCGGGGAGGAGGGCAAGGGGAGGAAAGAGGCGCCTTGCCCGAGCGAGGGGGAGAGCGAGAGGGCACGAGAGGTGGTGGCGGCGGCGGCGGCGCGGCGGTGGCTGATGAACGAATTGGCGGCGCTGGGCGTGAACAGCGGGGAGGAGAGCGGGGCGGGGGAGGGGGAGGAGGAGGGGGAAGGGGAGGGCGTGAGGGAGAAGGGCGCGCGGGAGCGGGGCGTGCGAGTGAGCGGGCTGGAGAGACGCGTGGTGAGCCGGCGGTCGCCCACCAGAGAGCAGTGGGCGGACGAGGTGAGTCCCTGCTGCTGCCGCTGCTGCTGCGCCCCCCCTTCTTATCTGTGCATCTGCGCCTCCCCTCCCTCCCGCCCCCGCCCACCCCCTCCCCCCTCTTGCTGGCTTCCCCACTCTGTGCGCCGCAGTCTCGGCCCCACGCGCGCGCCCTCGCTCCTCAGCCATGTCTGCACCTCCAGTCCCCTTCACCCGCCCCCACGGCCCTCATCTCACATTCCTTCTCCTTCCCCTCTCTCCCTCCTTGTCTTTCCCCCCGCTTCCTTCTCCACTTGATTCCCCCCGTTCCCTCCTCCCCCGCATCCCTGTCGTTACAGCGTAATCCCAGCCGTCTATCGCGCTCCTCGCTCTCCCTGCCGCGCCACTCCGTGCCGCTGCCCGCCCAAGTGACCCCCCCAGCACCCGCGCCCGCCGTCGGCTCCTTCTCGGGCCCGCTTCACCTGGGCGCCGCCAATACCGCGGGTAGCGCGGGCGCCGCCAGCAGCGCGGGCAGACGGGCGGCGGGCGCAGGGGAGCGACAGGGCGAAGGGGGAGCGGGAAGGGAAGGGAGTGAGAGGCAGCGAGCGTGGGAGGGGGCAGCAGGGGGGCCGGGCGAGGAGAGCGGGGAGGGAGGGGGGATTCGAGAGCAGCAGGTGAACACACATACTGGCGGCAGTGGTGGCGGGGATGGTGGCATTCATGGTGGTAGCGCGGATGGTGGCGGGGGTGCCTCCAGCACGTTGCTTGAGCGCCCGCCCTCCCCCGCTCCCTGGGTATGTTTCGCTCATGCGCGCCCGCTGCGACTGCCCCGCACGCCATGCCATCCCGCAGGCCATTATGCCATCCCGCACTCTATGCCCCGCCATGTGTTCTGCAATCCCCTCAGAATCACTTTCTCCTCTGCATCTCACATTTGTCTCACCCTCTCCTCCCCATTCTTCTTCCCCCGCTGCCCATGCCAGGTCCCTCGCCCCGGCCAGTCGTCCGCGCGCCTCGCGCGCACCAGCAGCTCCATCTCCTCTGCTGCGCGCCCGCCCTGCGCTGCTGCCCCGGGGGGGCGACCTGGGGGGAGCATTGGCGGGAGCACAGGCGGAAGCGCAGGCGGAAACACAGGCGGGAGCATGGGGGGCATGGGGACAAACATGGGGGGGAGCATGAGCGGCAGTTGGATCAATCCGAACATGCGCGCCGGCACAGCGGCGGCGGGGGGAAGGGGGGTAGCAGGGGCGGGGAGACAGGGACAACCGGGCATGGGTGGAGTGCGGCGACCAGCAACAGGAGCAGGCAGCGTAGGCAGCGTGGGCAGCACAGGCAGCACGGGCATGAGGGGCAGCATAGGCGGGAGGAGCGCGAGCATGGAGGTGGCGCGCGCGCGGCTGCTGGCAGAGGACGCGGCGCTCACAGACGCCATCCTCACTGGCGCCCTCATGCCGCCCCCCGCCTCCTCCTCGGCCTCCGCCTCCCTGCGCTTCCCCCAGCGCTCGCAGCAAGGCAGTACGGCCAGTGCTAGCAGCAACGGCGGTGGTATGGTTGGCAGCAGCATGTGTGGCAGTCACAGCATCAGCGTGGTGATTGGGCGGCGCAGCCTGGACAGCAGCAGCAGCAGCAGCGGCGTGGTGCTGCAGAGACAGGCCAGTGCGGCGCTCAAACGACAGGGCAGCATGCGGCAGGGCGGCGGGCAGGGCGGTGGGCAGGGCGGCATGGGGCAGGGCGGCATGGGGCAGGGCGGCATGGGGCAGGGCGGCATGGGGCAGGGCGGCACGGGGCAGGGCGGCAAAGCCTTGAGCAGGCAGAGCAGCAATGCTTCCCACAGGCTCAGCAGCAGCAGCAGCAGCAGCACGGGCATGAGAGCCGCAAGCAGCACACGCAACACCACCCCAACCACTCCAACCACTCCCACCACCCCCACCCGTGCCACTGCACCCACCACCCCCACCACCCCCCCAACCCCCACGGCTACCAGCATTGCATCAGCAGCAGGCAGCCCCCTCCACAGCACCGCCACCACTCCCACGGGCGGCAGCGGCAGAAGCAGCGGCAGCGGCAGCGGCAGGAGCCCAGCGAGGCTGCCAGCAGGGCAGCGGTCGCGCGTGTTCACCCCCGCAGACCTCGCCCGTGCCACCGACAACTTCCACTCGTCCCGCCTGGTGGGGTCGGGTGCGTACGGCCCCGTGTTCCGCGGCGCCATCCACGGCTGTGACGTGGCCGTCAAGCGCCTAAGGGCGCGAGAGGGGCGCGCGCGCAGCGAGGGGCGAGAGGCGTTCAAGCGCGAGGTGCAGGTGCTGAGCCGCGTGCGGCACCCCAACGTGGTGCTGCTCATGGGGTGCTGCCCGCAGGACCTGTCGCTTGTCTATGAGTTCATGGCGGGGGGGAGTTTGCAGCACCGGCTGGCAGCGCAGCACAAGCGGGGCGCGCAGGAGCAGGAGAAGGCAGCGAGCAGCAGTGGCAAGTCCCCGTCCTTCTCCTCTTCCTCCTCCGGCCAGCTCTCCTCCCTTTCCCCCGTGTCCCCTTCCCCCCCCGCCTCCCCCATCGCGTCGTCGCCCCCGCCCCTGCCGTGGCACGACCGGCTGCGCATTCTCTCCGAGGTGGCCTCGGCGCTGCTGTACCTGCACCGCTGCTCACCGCCCATCGTGCACCGCGACTTAAAGCCTGACAACATCCTGCTGGACGCGCACGGCACCAGCAAGATCGCGGACGTGGGGCTCGCATGCCTGCTGCGAGACGGGAGCACGGTGGTAACCACCCACCGCATGCGCGGCACCGTGGGATTCATCGACCCGGAGGCCATTGCATGCGGCGAGCTCTCCCCCGCCTCCGATGTGTATGCGCTGGGGGTCGTGGCGCTCATGCTACTCACCGGTGCTGATTCCCCCAAGCACGTGCACCGCCTGCTCGCCCTCTGCCCCACCACCATCTCCTCCCCGCCTCCCCCCTCCCCCACCACCCCGCACGCCACCGCTGGCACCGACAGTGACAGCGACCCGCCTCTGACGCCCAGGAGCGCCCTGCCGGCAGTGCCCACACGTGACCTGCCGCAGTCAGTGGCCATCCTGCAGCCGCACCTGGACACGCTGGCGGGCGCGTGGCCTGCTGACGTGGCGCAGCGTGTGCTGCGGGTGGCGGTGCGGTGTGTGGAGCGGGATGCGCGCATGCGAGCGGACCTGGCGGGGGAGGTGGTGCCGGCGTTCAGTGAGGCGGCTGCTGCTGGCCGGGCCCATGTGACTCGGCGCAGTGATGCCCTTGAGAGCACTCTCGTGTGCCCGCTCTCCAAGGTACTGCTGGGTTGCTGTCGGGTGCTGTTGGGGAATTTGTCGCGATGCTGTTGGCGTCTGTGTATTGTCGGGTGCTGTGGGGGTGCTGTGGGTGGGGGGCTTTCAGGGTGCTGTTTCAGGTGCCGCCAGCTCGTTTCCTTCCACTCTCCAATGTTCCGTTCCTCACTAAACCCCTCCCTTCCCAAGTACCAGTTCACTCACTCGCTTCCCCTGTCTTCTCCCCCCTCCCTCCCTCCCTCCCTCCCTCCCTCCCCGCCCTTCACTCCACACAGCAACGCATGGAGGACCCGGTGATAGCAGCGGACGGGTTCACATACGAGCGGCGCCACATGGAGGCGTGGCTGGCATCGTCGCTCCTCTCGCCCTCCACCGGCCAGCCCCTCCCCCACCCGGGCCTCACCCCCAACCACCTCCTGCGCTCCATCATTCTGGGATCCCAGGGTAATCAGGCCTCCCGCAACTGAGGCATGTCCCAGGTCAGGTATCTTCCAGGGGAGGTAGCATCCAACAACCTGGCCAACTGCAAGTGAGGCATGGTGAGTTAAGGGGCCAGGCATGTTCAGGGCAGTGAGGCCAACCACCTGCTGCGCTCCATCATCCTCGGACCTCTGCTCCCAGGGCTCCCAGGCCTCCCGCTACTGAGGCTGAAGCAGGGGACGTAGCATACAGGGCAGGGGAGGCAGCATACAGGGCAACAACGGCTGAAGCGCCATAGAGGGGAGGAAGGGGTGAGCATGGCGCCTGGATGTGGTGCGGGGTTGCAATGGGGGGATGGACTAAGTGGAGTGGGGGGAGTGGAGGCGAGAAGTGGAGTGGAGGGGTGAAGACGGGGTGAAGAGGAGGCCTTTGTTTTTAGCACCTGCGCTCTGTTTTGCACTCTGTTTTCGTGTTTTTACGGCAAGATAATTTTGCCAGCTTAGCATTAGGTACGATAATAGGAGTTTAATTATTGTATTTATTAGAGTATAATTCAAATAGTGGTGCCATTTTACACTATGAATGCGACATATCTTAAGTGTTTCCTGTTGTAATGCAACACATGCACGCACGCACTCAGCTCCGCATCCCGCTCTCCAGCGCGCCCTTACTGTAATCTGCTCGTTTACTCCCCTCACCCCTCCCCTACAAGCCGGCACACCTGCTCTACACTCCAAGCAGCACCCGCCCGCGTGCGCCCTCTATTCCCACCGCCGCGCATCTTCTCGTGCCCCCTGCCACTGCCACGTCTCGCGTCGCACGTCCCCGTTTTCCGTCCACTTCCCTTTCCTGGTAGACGCCCCTTTCCGCGGAATCCTTCCCCACTCTCGCGGTTCCCTTTTCCGCACCTTCTTTTCCTCCTTCTCGCTCCTCGCCTCTTTGCGCGCATCTCATTCGCGCGCGTTCCGCATTCGGCGCGCCTGCGCCTTCGGGAGGGATGAGTGCCCCGTCGTCGCTCGCCGTGCCACCTGCCACCCTGCCTGCCGGCGGCGGAAAGCAGCGGGGGGAACGGCGTCGGGAGGGCGCGCGGGGCAGCAAGGGGGACGCCTCTGCGGACTGGAGCGAGATTGTGGAGGCGGGGGAGGGACGCGGCGCTGTCGGGGGGAATTCGCGCAGCAGAGGCGCACGATGTATGCTCGGGGGAGGGGAGTGGTGCGGGGAAAGAGGGGCGGGGCGAGGGGTTTGTTGGCGCGGGTGTGTGAGGGGGGAAGTAAACGCGGCTGGGTTGGGCTGGGTGAGCGGGTCGGTGGGTCGCAGGGGTGTGAGCCGCTGGCTGTGGTGGCCCAGGGAGAGGCAAACGGTTGCCGCCCGCATGGCCATGTCCCATGCCATGCCGCCACTTTCACCCTCTACTTACACTCTCTCCTTCTCCCTTCTCTTTCCTCCCTCCTCTCCCTTCACCCCAACTCATCACCTGTCCGCAGCGCCCACCTCGCCACGCTCCCCCACGCGGGCAGCTGTGTCTCCGCGTCACTCGACCCAAGCGCCCCTCTCCCCCCGCCCCGCCTCCCCTCGCCATTTTTCCTACAACCTGCGCCTCCCTTGCGCGACTTCCATCGCCCACCCGCTCCTCACCATCCCGCGCGCCCTGCTGCTCGCGCTGCTCCTCGCTGGGGCCCTCGCTCTGTTCGCCCTCCTGCCGCCCTCCGTACGATTTTCTGCTCTATATTGCCCTGCCGTGCCGTACCATGCCGTGCCTTGCCGTGCCGTCCCTTGCTGTGGCGATTCGTGATGCCAGTCTGTCAGCATTTCGCTCGCCATGCCGCCTGTTTGTGCTTCCACCGTTGTGCTATTCTACATAGTGCTGCCGGAATCACACCATGCTGCTTGCTCCACCGCACCATTTCGTCTTTCCTCTCACTTCCTCCCATCGTTCCATACACCCTCCGTCGTCCCATCACCCTCCCCTCAGGCCCATCATAGCACCTCCTCCGAAGCAACCCCGCACTCTGCCGCTGCTGCAGGCACCACCCCCGGGTACTGCCCTCCCTCGCCCCCACCCCATCGCTCATATTACATCCCACCATCCCCATGCCAGATTCTCTTTCCCCACCCCATCCGTCCATCCGTCCATCCGTTCCACCATCCCTGGTCCGTGCGTCCCCCTGCCACCCATCTCTCTCTTCTCTCCATTTCCCGCTTCCCCTCTGCCCATGCGCCCTCTCCGGTGCTTCCGCACGTGTCCCTGCCTGCAACCCCCTGTAGTGCCTCACCCCAGCAGTCGCGGCTGTGGCAGCTGCTGCAGCGCCAGCAGCACCTGCACGCACAGCAGGAGTGGGGGCGACTGCACCAGTCGCTGCTGCTGCCGCTGCACCACCGCTTCTCCCGCTGGTCGCTCTTTGCCTCTCTCTTCCATGTGCGTGTGCACTCTGCTCTGCTCTGCATTTGCGCATGCTCTGCCCGCTGGTTTCTCAATGCTCCCTGTCACGTCACATTCTGCATTTTGCCATCTGTTCTCCACTCCCCTCTTCTCACCTTCCCACTACATTTTTCTCTCTTCTTCTCCTTGCCTCCTCCTCCATCCACTCTCCCTTCCTTCCCATCAGCACGTACGTGTGGGAGGGGAGCGACTTCTCTTTGTCAACGCCTCTCTGCCCCCCTCCGCGCTCCCCCCCTCCGCGCTGCCCTCCCCCTCACTGCCACGCTCCCCCTCCCCGTGGCTCAACGCGGGGGGGAGGCTGGAGGAGTGGGGCGGGGGCGAGGGGCAGTGGCGGCGGGTGGCATGGAGGGGCGTGAGGGAGAGGGCAGCAGCGTGTGTGACGCTGAGAGACACATTTGATACCGCCAGGGAAGAGTATCAGCAGGCGTTGCAGCTCCACCTGCAGTCCCTGCTCCCCCCGCTCTCCCCCCCTTCCCCCTCTTCTCCTCCCCGCCCGCCCGACCCTCCCCCGTCCGCTCTGCGCTCCTCCCTCTCAGCCCTGCGCCAGCGCCTGCTTACCGAGTGTGCTTATAACGGGGACGAGCTAGACTTGCCTGCAGAAGAGAGAGGGACGCTTAGACTGAGGGAGGAGGAGAGGAGGACGGGTAGGGGGAAGGCGGGGGAGGGGGGGGGAGGGCAACGGGAGAGGCCGGGAGAGGGTTTGCTAGAGGCAGACGGGGGGTGGCGGTGCAGGGGGGGCGAGCAGGGGAGGGAGGCGCGGGCGTGTGTGGGCGTGAGGGCGGGCGTGCATGTGTGGCAGCGGCGGCGGGAGCTGTTCCCACAGGCGGCAGTGGGCATGTCGCTGCTGCTGCAGTTCTTCCAGCAACCCTCCAACGTGCACCCCCTCGTCTCCCGCCTGCACGCCTGCGCTGCCAGCCGTGGTGGTGCTGCTGCTGCTGGTTCTGCTGGGAGCGTGGGGGAGGAGCAAGGGCGTGGGAGTGGGGGTGGAGGTGGGGGTGAGGGAGCAGGAGAGGCGGCGTGGGCGGGGCTGGGGGGCGAGGTGAGTTGGGATGAGCGAGGGATGGGGAAGGGAGGAGGTGCAGGGGCGGGGGCGGCGGAGGATGGGAGCATGGCAAGGGGTGTGGGTGACATGCCAGTGGGGGAGGGTGGCAGCGGGCAGGCGGGGTACGGGATAGAGCTGACCGCCAATGTGGATGAACCCTCGTCCTGGCCGCTCTGGCTGCAGATGTGGCGCGACACGGGGGGAGGACAGGGCGGGCAGGGAGGGCAGGGTGGGCAAGGGGGAGGGCAGGAGAGAGGACAGGGGGGAGGGAAGGGGGAAGGGCAAGAGGGAAGGGCGGAGGGAGGGCAGGGGGTGAGCCATTGGGCAGGGCTGTCACTGCCACCGCTACCCACTCTACCACAACCACAACCACGCCCCGACCCTACCAACACCACACTCCTACCCCCCTCACATCCCCCTTGGTGCGGGCATGAGAGGTGCACCCAAAGCTCCTTCCTGCGCGTCATCTTCCGCCACAACACCCACGAGGTCTTCGCCTTCAACCGCGCTGCCTCCGCCTCCCGCGCGCCCCTGCTCGCCCTGCTCCAGGACGACCTCCTCCCGCCCGCCTCCTGCCGCTGGCTGCACGCCATCCTGCACGCCCACGCCGCCCAGCCGTCCCTTGCAGCACTGGGGTACCGCACAGGCAAGGTGGATGTGGACAGCCGCGGGGGCGAGGGCGTGAGGGCGTACCAGCGGCAGAGCCGCGCGCTGTGGGCGCAGCCGGCGTGGGAGGCGCGGGCGGGCGTGCGCGGGTACATGGCGGGGGTGGTGGACTCGGGACCGCTGGTGGTGCGGCGCGCGGTGTGGGAGCGCATGGGGGGGTTGGATGAGGGCATGTCGACGAGAGGGCAGAGCGCCATGGTTGCTGACTGGGTGCTGGCGTTCCATGTGTGGATGGCCGGCCACAAGGTGCGTGCATGGGCCATGCGTGCATGGGCCGAGCGTGCGTGCATATGCGCCCGTGCTGCTGCTGTGCTGCTGCAGTGCTGCTGCTGTGCTGCTGCAGTGCTGCTGCTGTGCTGGTGCTGTGCTCCTGCAGTGCTGCTCCTGTGCCCTCACACTCACTCACTCCCTCCTGCATTGTGCCTCCATCTGCTTCTCCTCTCCTCGAAACCAACCTTCATTCTGACCCCCCCTCTCCTCACACCCCCACCTTTCTTCCCGCCCACCCTATTCCCCTCCTCTCTCATCCCCATGCCCTCTCCCCCCGGCCCCCTACCCCCTGACAGGCGGTGCACATGGCATGGGAGCGGGGGCAGGGCATGGAAGCAGCGGGGCAGGGGGGCACGCACAAGGGGGTGCAGCGGGCGGTGAGGCAGATGCAGAAGGTGGTGGGGATGGCGCAGTTCCAGCGCCACACCGTGGACGTGTATAACGGGCGGCAGCAGCAGGAGGTATACCGCACCAACCTCATGCTGCCACTGCTGGATGTGTGGCAGTGATGGGCGACAGTGAAGGGTTCCGGTGACAGGTGGAAGTGATGGGCAGCAGGCAGTGAGGGCGAAGCAGAAGGAGGTGGGCGTGGCGCTCGTCCAGCGCCACACCATGGACCAGTACCATGGACCGGTGCCATGGATCTCTGCAATCGCCGCCAGCAGGGCGCGGTGCCCCGTGCCAACCTCGTGCTGCCGCTGCTGGATGCGTGGTAGTGACGGGTGAGAGGGTGGCGGTGATGGGTGGCGATGGTGGGCGGCAGTGACGGTCGACAGTGAAGGGCGGAAGCGACAGGAGATGATTCGCTTGACTGCGCATGAACCGAAGCTGGATGTGTGGGATGGGGGTGATGCACGCTGCTGCTCGTCTGCCTGACCACCATGCTACAGCACAGCCACTGCAGCCTCGCCCTTGCAAGCATCACGACTCACCACAATCAGTGCATGGTGAGAATAAGCATGTAAGCATTCCATTCGACATGTTGTTTGCACTTTCAGCCCAGTATTCTGACAGCAGGGCGCTGTGGGAAGGATGGGATGGGTGGGATGCAGTGTGAGTGGCGGCACTTACTGAGGCGCCATGCTTTTCACATGTCAACCCATTCTGCAACGCCTTGTCTGTGCTGACATTATCAACATTATTTAAAAAGAATATGGTACAAGAACATCGAATCAGTGAATTTGTAAAGCCTGGCATGTGAGACAGAGCATCAGCTTGGTATACCGGCAGTGCTTCAGCTTGTTGCCAGTCGGCGTGCACGTCACTGCAGCAGCATCGCCAGCACCACTCAGTCGCTCTGGGAGGGCAGGCAAGCACGAGGCGTCTGTAAGCTGTGAGGCGTCACTCCCCACACCTTACTGATTCCCCACACCTCAACGGCGCAACCTGGACGTGGGGTGGGGGGTGTCACTCAGTGTCAGGCATGGAGCAGTCGAGGGCGGGCAGGCTGTGCAGCAGTGAGAAGATCTGCTCCACATCAAACGACGCCTCCCTCCCTCTTACTGGCCCCACTCCCTCCCCCTTCCCACTCCACCGCATCACTGGGCCATGGGGTGGCATCACTCAGGCATGGGGCAGTCGAGAGCGGGCAGGCTGTGCAGCAGGGAGAAGAGCTGTTCTGCATCAAACGACGCCTTCCTCCCCCGCCCCACCCCGCCACCCTCCCCCCCCCACACCACCTGCTCCTGCTTCTCCCCCTGCTGCTCCTCCTGCCTCGCCGCCCCTGCCCCCACCTGACTCTCCCCCACTGTCTCTCCCGCCCACCCTCCTCCCATCTCTGCCCCAACCCCTCCCGCCATCACAGCTGCATTCCCGCCTGCCACCCCTCCCACCACAGCTCCGCCACTCTCACCTGCGCCCTCCTTCCCGCTGCCCACGCACACCCCCGCGCCTGCACTCCCTGTGAGCACATTGGTCACCACCAGCGCGCCAAAGCTGTTCTCCGAGATCAGGATCCGCCTCGGCCCGCCCTCCCCCTCCCCCTCCCCCTGCGCCAGCCCCTGCCCCTCTCCCTCCCCCTCCCCCTGCGAAAGCTGCCACGCCACGCTGCTGCGGCAGCGCTGCAGGCGCCGCAGCCAATCAGGCATGGCGGCTGGGTCGGTGGGGGCGTCTCCGCCCGTGAGAGGCGGGAGGGAGGAGTGGGGGGGAAGCGGGGGGAGCGGGGGGAGCGGAGGGGGCGGGGGGAAGGAGGGCGTGAAGTGCACGGGAGCAACGGTGGGTTGAGAGAAGGCGAGTGTTGTGAAGGGGAGAGGGTCCGAGGGGCCTGCGAGGGGGGAGGTGAGGGCAGCGGGAGCAGAAAGCGGCAACTCCAGGGGTACTGCGTCATGCGCAGGCTGTGCCACGGGCGGACGGGGGTCCCAGTGGGCGGCATGCGCGGCCATGGAATGCAGGTCGTCCGCGGACAGCCGTGCATCCGCGCGCCTCAGACGGGCCACTGCAGGCGGGGCTGACGCTACAGCGCTCACGGCTGCGTGCACTTCTGCCCCCAGCGCGGCGGGCTGAGTTAGCTGGTTCAGGTGCACTTGAAGGTGGTCGCTGCTGTACTGTTGCTGCTGGCCCTGCGACCACTCGGCTGCTGCGCCAGCCATCTGCACCTGCTGCTGCTCCTGCTGCTGCTGCTGTGGTTGGTCGTGTTGCACCGGGTACTGAAACTGAAGCTGCTGTTGGTGCCATTGCTGCTGCTGCTGCTGTTGCTGCTGCTGTTGCTGCCATTGCTGCTGCTGATGCTGCTGCTGGTGCTGTTGTTTCTGTTCATACTGCTGCTCGTGCGCCCAGTGGGGGGGCTGCTGCTGTTGCATCAATTGCGCATTCACCCGCTCAGTGCCGCACGTGCACTCGCTGCACCGCGCCTCAACAACAGCAGGAGCGCGTTCCGCCGCACCCACGCGTCCCGCGCACGCCTCGTCCGCGGCCCATGGCAAGCCGCACGCAGCGGGGCCCTGAGGGGTGACGGGGGCGGAATCCGAGGCGGGGTGCTGCCACCCAGCGCTGCTGCTGGGGGGCGGGGGAGACGCAGAGGCGGACGCGGACGGCGGATGGGGGGCGGGAGCAAGCACGAGCATGGGCTGCTGCGCTCCACTCGCCCCCAACCGATCCGCACCCTGCTGCGGCCCCATAAAGTCACCGCTTCCTCCTCCGCCCCCTCTTCCTGCTGCAGCTGCAGCTGACCCCGCCGCCGCCCCCCTCATCTTCTCCTCCTGCTGCCTTTCGTGCCACTGAGCCGCTAGCCCAGCAGCAGTGGCGGTGGCCTGATCCGAAGCACCCCTCCACCCAGCACTGGCAGCAGTCGCACCTGCTGCCGCCACGCCCCCTGACACTTCCGCAGCAGAGCCCATCGCCTGGGGGACGCCCGCCTCCTCCGCCCATCCGCCACTCTCCGCTACACAGTCCCGCTCCGCGGAACGCCGCTGCTCGCCGCCCAGCGACGCGCCTGCCCACCCGCTGCCGCCGCCAACAGGCGACGCATCAGCAGCGGGGTGCGGCGAGGGGAGCGCGGCGGGGTGCATGCCCATCATGATGGTGGCGGGCGGCGCGTGCAGGTGCCAGCCGCTGTACGAGATGGCGAGGTCGCTCGCGGGCGAAATCTTGTTGAAGTCCACCACGCGCTTCGCATCGCACTGCTCGTCGCCCACGCGGTGCGCACAGCGGAAGTAGTGCCTGGGGGGAGGAGGAGATGGGGGGAAAAGGGAAAGGGAAAAGTTAGGAACAGGCATGGCACAAGAGACGATATCTTGGGAGGCTCCCTGAAAAGAACATGCAGATTAAGTTGGGAATATGCTTGCTGCTTGCGGCAAGGGAAAGGGAAAAGTTAGGAACAGGCATGGCACACGCGACGACATTTTGAGAGGCTCCCTGAAAAGAACTTGCAAATTAAGTTGGAAATATGCTTCAAGCATGCATGCATGCGTGCAAGTTGCTGCATGCGGCTGGAACACTTTCAGAGCAATCTTGGGCTTTGAACACGGTCACAACCTTTCTCAGTTCCCTTCCAGATGAAGGAGAAATTCGTGCAGGGCCTTACCTGGTGTGCGTGCCTCCTGATAGTTCCTTCTGGCCGTACTTGAGCCACACGTGCCCGTCGCGCGGCAGCCGGTGCTCAAACAGGATCAGCTTCGACCGCTTGCACGGCCGCGCCGCGCTCGACGATCCCGCCATCTTTCCCGCCGCCGCTTTCGGCGACTTCACATCGGACGACTCGTTGATTGCGTCGCCTGCCGCTGTGGGTGGAGTCAATGAAGTAACTATTACTACTGGAGGCGCCTCTTCTGCCGCCAGAGAGTCTTCGCTTCGTTCTCGCTTGATCGCGCGACCCTCCTTTTTGGTCGACTCGGCTTGGAGCCCTCCAGAGCCGTTAGTCTTTCTTCGATCTTCTTCCATGGTGATTTTGCCACCGAATCTGGAGCCGGCGTGGCCGGCGCAGCGTAGGGATATTGTACTTGAAATGCCTCCTCCAAGGAAGAAGCGGGGCTTGGAGTCGCGTGTAAGAGTTTCTAACTCAGCACACGGAGGCATGGTGGTGTCGCCTACGAATCACGTGCAGAATATTGAGCTTAGAGCGAATACATTGGTGTCGAGGCGAAATAACAAAACGCTGTTTTTGTAAGGCCACATGTCGAGGGCGGTGGTAGAGATAGAACGGTCCGCGTGATGTTGCTTGCTGGCTGGCAAAATGGATGTGCAAACGGGACTGTGTGGCAGAACTACGCATTGGAACGTTCGCTGACAATTTTCAGGCTACCCGACAATATTTATTTTTTTCTGGAATGCGAAGTTCTGTTAGAGCAAACGCTATAAGATGAATTTCCATCTTGCGACCAAACGGCTCAGTTATCTTCCACCATTTTCTACAACTGATTGCGGGGCAACCATCATTTTTGTGGACGTTACTAGAAAGAAACACATTGTGAAGTGAGGCACGCCCAAACCAGTTTCCAGCCCACAATAGCATGTTGCTGGCTGACACGACACTGCACTCCACCCATGGTTGAGACTCGGAGTGGACTTACGCACCGTACTGTATCTCGTCAACCTCCGACAGTCTGAGCCCAGACAACGTCGCCGCTTTCCAGTTCACAAAACACGATGCCAGCGCACAATCAACGCGGACTTCATCAATGCCGTACGCGGTACACCTTGAGCGCGGATTCAATTCCATAGAGACGAATGAAGCCAAAAGCAACCGTGTGCTGTCAGCGACCCGCGTTTCACTTCACTCACGCGGAGAGTGTAGAAACGACATAAACATTACTGTTTCTGAGTACATGTTCTAAGCACAGAGCACTTTCAACAAAACATAGAATGCGTGACCTGACATCCATTCCATAAATCGTTTCACTACAGTTGTGCCATTCCATGTAAGCAGCAGGCAGCAGCGAGAAAATAGTAATAGTGACGACTTCTTTACGTTAATTCACAGTTGAGCTGTCGCTAACTATATTTAAAGGTCTGTACAGAAATTTGTTCTCTATTTCCTCGAGAAGTCGTGATGTTGTCTGGGCTTGTTCAAACA